TGGTGTAAGTGCGGCCAATTGTTTCAAAATCTAGGAGGGGGTTGACCTTGACAAATCAATGGGAATTAGAGCTTCTAGTATTAATGGGGTGGGGGATTTCTGTTTACCCGGTCAGCACTAGATCATATACGGCAGCGGGACGGAAGTGAGTAATCCAACATGGCGGTCCCTAGCGACGAGATGCTAAGGCTGATAGTCGAATGTTGTAGTGCCGATCAAAACACAATTCAATTGTTTTTTTTTTATTATTATCGTATAATAACTAGGAATATAGCATATAATTTTCATTTACTTTTTAATTTATCTTTTTATTTTTTAATCGTATTATACCTAGGATTTTGTAAACTTTGCGATTTGAATTAAGTAGCCTAGATGAGTTCCACCTCCTGCTAGAGTGCAAAGCATATGATTCAATACGTGATCCCTTCAGAGGGCAGCTGTCAGAGTTCCTACCCCTAGGCGACTTCAGCTTTAATGAACTTTATAATTTTCTTATGGGTGCTCAAGACTTAAATATTCTTAGAATGGTTATGCGTTTTGTAAATAGATGCTTCCAACAAAGGGAACAAACCCTCTCTTATACATTGCACTCTTTTCAGTGTTTGTATTTAAATTCATCGCCTGTAGATTTTCATTACACATCTTATATATATCACTTTATAAACTCATTTATTAGTATTATTATACATTTATCTAATTGGGTCTAAATGCGTTTCCACGTCCTGCAAATTTACGTATCTGTAGCTGGAGTTGTCTGTTTTACCTCTATGATTGTACTTCGGCCCATTTTTAAACACGTATTCATCTATATCGCATCAAAATCATGTATGTTTATTCATTTAGGCCTACTTGTTTGTACTCTGCTATAGTTAGATGTACTGTCTTTGATTGTACCTTATTTGTGAAGGTGTATCAATAAAGAATCCCTAGGGATATAGCATACATGTATATTTTCCTAGATATTTTGCTGTAAAACTACATCCTATAAATGTCTCGGCGGCGCCACTCGGAACTACTCGGATGTCTCCGCACTCGACAATAAGTATGGTTAGTATGGAGCTTGCGGAATGAGCCGAAGATTGCCGATTGAGGCGGCGCTGGGGGCCGCCATGTTGGATTACTCACTTCCGTCCCGCTGCCGTATATGATCTAGTGCTGACCGTGGGGGATTTCTGTTTACCCGACTGTTTGTTTACATCGACTCTCCTCAAGAAGGAGTCCGAGTCTGCGCAGATGCGTTTCCGGTGCATAATATTCTCAGACGACACGATGATAGTGCATGTTGAATATCATGGTAAATAGCATACGTGTTTATTATTTGCGAATGATTTTCACAAGTCTATTGCTCTGCTTTTTTGCGTGATTGTGCGATTCTGTATGAGTTCGTGGTCGAATTTCTGTCCGGTGATAGATCTATAGAGGTAATTGGGTAATAGTCGGTTTTACGGGTCCCTATTTAATTGTTAATAACTCGACCAATTTTGGCCCGATTTTCATAAATTTGGTATTGTTAGACTCTACAAATCTTTCTCTTGACATGGAATATAATTATTATTTCTTTAATATGTTATTAATGACGTTTTTAATGAGTTATTTCAGGTACTCTACCAAAGGCTACTTCCCGAATTGCTAGAATGAACTGATTTTCTTCAGTACAGTATACAGTACAGTTACAAGTACAGTATATATTACAAAGATTGTTTGAAATATGTTTACATGGCACAATTTCAGGTTTGATTGACGTGAACAAAGCCGGCATATATACTGATATGACCGACAAAGAGCTGACCACATCACTAGCTGCTAGCATGGTATATATGAAATGTCAAGGTAGGGAAACTGTGTTTGTACTGCTACTGTTCATGTACTCTGTTCTTTTAATTTTCAGAGGAGACAGACAGCACCCTATTACGATTTGGGTGGTGGCTAATCTTTCCTCACCTGCTGGAAGAGCTCACCTCTGCAGTGCTGTTAGACATTTGGTAAATATCATAGAGTGTTCTGGAATGTATCTTGAGATACAGTCAGTGCCTGTGGCCGTCATTGCCACTTAGTGAGCCTGGAATAATTAGTGTTGTGGCAGTTTAGGAATGTGTGTGTTTGCAACAAGATTAAACAGCAAATTAGATAAGTTTCTTAGAAGGCAGACCCACTGCATCAGTGAAGAATGTCTTCACATGATAGGAAGACTAATTTTTATGGACCTAGTGCAGCAAATATACAGGATTTCAAACTGATCTTTATGAAGATATTTTTTGTTATAGTTTTATAAATACTGCTGGTGTGCAATATTAGTCTACAACAGGGGAACTTTCCCTTTTATTATAATGTTTTCAAAAGGACATTCCACCTAGCACATCCAAACACAACACAGTCAGATGCATCAATTGTTGTGAATTATTTAATGGAAATATGTCAGCAAGATACTCATCATTATAAGATCTTGCAACTGAAGCTACATGTCACTTATGAAGAGGACAGGCTTTGCATTGAATGAAGTGCCTAGAGTTTGAACTTCACAATAATTATGATTAAAGAAACTAAAGCAAACAAGACCAGGTGTAGATGGAATAACTGTACAATTTATATTGTAGGTAGGAGATTGTATGTTGACATTTTGTAATGAATATTTAAAAAGAACAAAATCATTAAATCATGCAAATGGTCAGGATAAATTTTTATAGGTAGCAGAATGCCCTTTTTGTCAGTTTCAAGAGATACAATAGCTTGTCAGATTAGAACATTGGTGTACCAATTCATTAGTGGGCTAGAATTGGTCTTAAAGTGCAATTTAAGTTCACAGGTGATCTTACACGATCTTAATCTTAATAGTAGTCTTAAAATGGACTGAATCTGCTTTTAAGGTCAAAAATGATCTGATATCTACTTAAGTGGTCAAGCAGTTTCATCCCCTCACAATGGGGGATACCTCCCCTCACAATAGAGGACACCTCTGCTCACAATAGGAGAATGTGTAAGGGCAGACAACTTAATTGGCTGTCAGACTAGAAATGGTTTTACTCATGTTTTAAGATTACGTAAGACTATTTGTCATCTTAAATTGCACTTTAAGATCAAATCAAGCCCACTAATGCAAGGAGTGTAGATAAATAGTGTGGTTTCATTCAACCTGAGCCACAGCAGTGACTGCAACAAAGACAGCATGAATTTCAATGCATTGATAACATTTTAAAAGCAGCTGGATTGCTTTAAAAAAAGACCAAGTATTGCAAATTATAACGGTGAAGTAATTAAAGGCAAAGAATTTTCAGAAGCAGTTTTAAATACTTAGAAAAAGTATGTTGAACTATTCAATTGAGCTATAATTGCTCTCATAATTACCAGCAAATGTATGTGCTATGAGTGTGCATGTGTTCTCGCCTAAAACGGGGATTTTGTACGGCCTCATTTGTGTGGAAATGAAATAGAATAAAGAAATTAAATGAAATTCATTGAAATTTGATTAGAGTTCTATGCAGTTTCTAATTCAAATGAGAGGTAATTAGCCCACCCACCTCCCCTTCTTCCATATCAAAAGGGTGGAGTACCTGGTTTACTTATTAAGATATATGTATATGGATATGTATAATTGTATATAATGTGTTGATGTTATTATGTATCTAAGATAACATTAAGCATTGATTTCACTTGCTTGTAGTCACCATATTTCTACTTTTATGTATCTTTTATGATCAATTCTCGGCAGCGCCGAAAATTAATTACAGCTTTGGAAGTAACTGGCTCGCGCTGCCCATAATTACGTCGTGGGGTATTCAGGGCACAGACCGTGATCACAACCTACCGCAAATAGAATTTTAGAAAATAGATTTTTCATGTGAACACAGTCTAATACAGCTACATATTTTATGTTTTTCTTATTAATTCTGTTCGAAGCATCTGTCAGTCAAATGACTTATTTTTCAGATATTTAAAATCAATCAAATAATCAGCCATTCTGTGTATCTTTGTAGAAGCACAGTCATACCCTGAGAGTTGGTATTGTCCCATTACCAAGTTGCATGAAGGCAGCCATATTCCACTGGCCATCCACACAGTACTGGTAACTCGGGTCCCACACACTGCCAGGAGCTTTGTCACCTGAACCTAGCTGCTGAAAGAGGACAACATACATGCCATACTGAAAGGGACAAAGTCACTCAGTGACTTGGAAGTTCGTGTAAGCATCTCTCCCTGTCTCTCTCTCTCTCTCTCTCATGTGGTTGTTTGAATGGTTACTGTTACCACCATCCATTACTCACTAAAGGTCATATGGGGTTTGGTACATATGTGCTAATTACCTGTGTCTATGTTCTGCTTGTTGCCATACTAATGTATGTAACTGTACATTTGACAGCTTTGCTGCCTAGTATTACTACAGAAAAAAATTAGAAGACATAAGTGGCCCTTATAACCATAACATTATAAATAAAGGTTTTTCATAGTTCACTGGTCTTAGTTGACAAACATTAAGTTATGGCAGTATTTATGTGTGGTATCTTTTTAATTAGATAAAGAATCGTGTCTAACTTATCCTAGGGTATGGTAATGGAGGTGTACCTTAAGGCCCTGGGCGTACAGACGGTAGCTTTCCTGCAGTTCCACTCAGCCTTCAGCACCCAAGTCCTGGGCTTTCAGCCAGGCGCCCGAGGAGTTATATTGAATGGAAGAATAATTGGTCCGTTAAAGGAAGCATTCATAGAGGATGACAAAAATCTACTGGAAAAATATACACTGAAGTCGTCTGCTGAGAAAATTGTTCAGATGCTGACGGGATTTACAGAGGACACAAAGAGGTACAGTGAGTGTTGAAGTGATATAACATGGGGCTTAAAGGGACAAAAAATAGGATCTGAAATGCTTTCTTAGTGCATGGATTGCTTCTTTTTGAACTTATCTGAGAACAATTGATATATTTAAAACATAAAATGGCAGATAAATGGCCTTAATCAGTATCGCAAAAAAGAATCATATTCACCGTCCCCTTTCAAACCCCGGGCGTCAGCCATCTTGACACAGTTTGAAATAACGCGGCTTCTCGACTCAGATACGAGATGTAAACAATGCAGACAGCATGTCTGACTCAAAGGTGAGCATGGGCGTGAAGAGGAAGAGTAATTGTTCACAGAATCCTTGCAGGTAAGCGAGTTATATTCACTATAAGTGATTTAAAATAGGAAGGTGGCAGTGGAAATCAAAATGTCTGATAGTGAAAGTTAAAAAGCGTAGATAACTGCTAATAAACGTTTCCTCGGGTAACGCACTCGCAGTCCCCAAACCACTCGCACTGGGTACGTACTACTAGTTACATGAAGTTAGGTAGTGCACTTAGCCCCTGTAAAGCAGGGTTCTGTAAAGCAGGAGGAATACCCTTTTTCTGCCCAATGTGGTCATCTACCAGTACTTGCAGACTAACCTCACACCATATTCCCGCAGGGGAATCCCATGAGATATACAATGTAACTCGAGTAGTGGGGATAGAGGGTGTTCTTTGTACAACACTTAACTTATTTGTAAATTTAATATTGTCAATGAATATGATTATAAGGAATGAATTTTTTAGCCTTTCAGAGGAGGAACTGGGTGATACACCCCTTCAAGCATGAGTGGAGAGATTGGGTATGTTAATAATTTTAGCAGTACAGCAGGTAACAGGGGCGGATCCAGGATTATCTGAAGGGGTGGGGGGCACGGATGCAAAGCCGACCCCCCCCCCCTCCCCCTTTAGTTGGCGTGGGGTTCTGGGCCCGCTTAAAATTTTTGGTATTTTAGAGGGCGAACAGTGCCATTTGGTATGGTTTAGTACTATAAATTAGCTAGTCAAAATTCTATTTCCAAGTGGGGAATAATAGTGTGATTTTTTTACATCAGTTCTTTGAAACCATGTGTGATTATGTTATTTCTTCTTGTGGCCTTTATGATTTAATACAGCTATAGCTATTTAAATTTAATTATTTTTTTGCCATAATCAGACTTGCTTCTTTATTAAAATCTGGTTATCATGTAGTGATCATGCCCTCTAATTTGTTGATTTTTGTTAAAGAATAGTGCTGTTATGATAATATCAATACATTTTTTTTTATAACCATTTTATGTAATTTTACTATTACAGTGCCAAGTTATATCTGGAAAACTCATACCAGGAAGCACTCCAATCTTACAATACTGCATCACTTCAATGTTGGCGTGACAAGTTGTGTAAAAAGACTGCTACAAAAGAATTTGCATTGATGACCACATAATCCACCACCTTTTACCAAAACCAAGTGAACAGTTTTATATTATAATGCCCATGTACATGTATTTAAGTGACAAGACTGAGATCAGCGAGAGCCTCAAGGACTTTTATTTTCTGGGCATTGTCAACTATTCAATAATTTTATAATTTTGCCAAATACATCCAAAGATTCAATTCTTGTGCAATTCTTGAAAATATTTTTTTAGAATATATTTTAATGTCTAACATGTTTTTCTAAAAACTAGCCCTTTAGTATATTAACATTATGTACCATCCAACTATTATTATTACTTAACATATTGTTATGTGCAAAAGCATAAGCTGCAGTATCAATGTAGTATTAACTGGGTAGAGATTATAAATGAAATAAAAGTTAAAATATTGAAACATCTTTTATTTATATTTGGCAAAAATACAAGAATAAACAAAGTTTGCTACATAAGTTTAGAATTTGGCCAAATCATCTTTATTATTACCTGTCACACGTAATGAATAAGACATACACAGATATTGCAAGCTAAAATGCATAATTATTTTCATACTTATTAATGTCCTCTTCATAAATAAGCCTTCCATTCAAGCATTCACAAACTTTCACATTGTGCAGTACACATTATAGTATGGTAACATTTTTGAGAGAGACTTATTAACAGCCGGGCTATCATGTTAAGAATCTGATGTACATGCAGACCCATGGGCATTGCAGATCAACAAATTATCCCCCTCTCTGTCAGTGTATTGACTCATGTAAGCAGACACAAAAGTCTCCATGCAAAGGAATGTGTCATAAGAAGGGCCTTACCCAACTTACACAAACATAAATTGTTTCATAGGTAAGATATTCACACATACTTTTCCAAGATGTGCAGGGAATAAATAGAAAGGTATAAATATTTCTTTAAAAAATACAGGTATGGCTTCCCTACATGAATTCTAAATTATGGCTGAGTGGAGAATTGAATACAGGCACAAGTGTTCACTCAAACCATTTTGTAGGTCTTTTAAGAAAGGTCTTTTAAAAAAGAAGAAAGGTCTTTTATAAAAGAAAAGACATACAGTCATTTGCCAAATACAGAATTTTATGCTGTAACAAAGTCACAAAACTCTGCAACTGGTGATCTTACAAAATATGACAACACAGTAGTTTAAAATCAAGTTGAAGTCACAATATGCCACCAGTACCATATTCCATAATACATTTGATGCCATTAAATTTAGATTTAAGAAGTAAATGCTGGACCAAAATGGTTTCTTCTCAATATCAGGCATATAACTTTGGTTTGGGAGGAAAGACCACTTTGACTTCCAATCTGTCTGCATTATAGCATACATGCCAGTACTACATGGCTTGAAGTCAACAGATTATGCTTTGTCACAGTGGCAAGATGGGTTCACTGAATATATCCTGTAAGGAGCACTCAAAAGTCAGGAAAAGTCTCTCACTATCCAACTCATCCCGGCTTTGGACCCTCAAGAAAAGTTCCTCGTCTTTTGGTGGAGAGTCATGGAGTTCCTCTTCCAAGTAAAAAAAAAATCTCTTCTTCAAGACATCATACTGGCAGTTGCTCATAATCTTAAAGGTCTAAAAAAGCAAATCAAAATTTACATTATGTGTCGCCAATATGGAAAAATAATTGATGAAAGAGAAATCATGCACCTGTAATGCTTAATATAAGACGAATGATTATCAGCTGATTAAAATTCTGCTTACTCTAAACACATGTTTTAGTCCCATGTTGGATCATCAGGATCCTTTAATTCCCTCTTCTTCAGCATCTTCCTCCTCTTCCATCTGCACTTCTTCCAGTTCAGGCATCCCATAGGAAAATGTTACCTTGATAACGCAACCAAAAAAAAAAAAAAAAGCAACAGTACATAAAATTAAGATAATCAAGTTTGAGAAAAATCATGTAAAACATAATTGAAATAAGTATAAAACTCAACTGAAATAAGTATAAATGCCATTTTTCTCAATATGATCACCTTAAATTATCTAGACTATCATCTTCAACTGCACTAGTATTAACTACAACTTAATTTTGAAGTTTCTTGATCACTTCATATTGGTTTAATCTCCGAAATACTGGTTGGACGCTAATGTAAAAAATTGTATCGTCTAAATCATTACTCTGGACTATTTAATACATTTTATAGATGAACCCAACATAAACATGCAATATCCCCTTTCTGATTTATTTATTTATTTTTAATGTAAAAAGGAAACTTAATTGTCTTTAGAATATAAAATCAAAATACTACTCGAAGATATTTTCAATTATAGTTGACATGCCATTTGAAATTGAGTTAAACTTAGATACAATAACACCTTCTGCACATTCATTTTGGGATTTAGATGCCTAAAGAAATAGCATCTTGGTCATACGCCTTAAATACTGTTTTTTGTATGCCCAGATGTTAGAGGCACAAGAAATGTGCCCTCGGTAAGTCAACAATTCGCCCCGGTCATTGAAATGTACATGTAATGAGACTAGTATCTCCCACCATGTCCATTTCCATTTAAACTTTCTTTGCTGTATAAACTAATCCAAACCCTGTCAGAGTCGACATATGAGCAACACTTGTAATTTCTGTCATCGATACCAATCATATTCGTTACAATTTCATGGCATATTTTGACAGACGAGCCTGACTGAATCGTTAAGAAGCACACAACAAACACACATAAATAAACATTAATCTATGTGCTTAATAAATGTTTTCACTGGTGTCTTATCTCAAACATTATTGTAAATGGTACAAATCCAGTAAATACTTCACGGCCTGGCGATCCTTCGTATCCATGGCCACCCAAGCAGGTTTTCATATGCCTTCTTCCTTGCCGGTGCTTGTTTGTTTGTTGTATATTTGCTGATACACTGTTTTTAGCATTTTCTTTTCTGGTGTTGATTTTTGTAAAGGGTGTTTCCTTTTTATGTACAGACACAGATGTGTCTGTACATATAGCCATCATCTGCGTCTGTCGTCGCCGTCGCTGTCGTCGCCGTCGTCGCCGTGCACTTTTACCGATAACACGATAAGTGGAAAACCATTTTGCCTTTTGATTTGAAACTTGCAGAACTGATGAATATTCATAATACGCAGGTCAAGTTCGAAAATCAGCATGATCGGGTCACTCTTAGGGAGTTTATGCTGTTTTTTCACTTTTTTCAACATATATGCAGCACTGATAACACGATAAGTGGAAAACCATTGTACCTTTTGACTTGAAACTTACAGAACTGATGAATATTCATAATATGCAGGTCAAGTTCGAAAATCGGCATGATTGGGCCATTTTTAGGGAATTTATGCTGTTTTTTCACTTTTTCAGCATATATGCAGCACCAATAACACAGTTAGTGGAAAACCATTTTACCTTTTGGCTTGTTTCTTTTTGTTATCTTTCTTTCCTTCTTCGATTGAGTCCCAGCTTTTCTTTTATTGTATTTTCCAAAAATGTTACAGAGCGATAGCGAGTACTGGGAATGAAAGATTAAAGGTTGGTTAATTGCGGAAAAATGCTGTTTACCCCGGGATAAATCAATTTTGGTGCAGAAATCCTCTTTTGTGTCCTTTTAAGGCTGACTCACTTTGGTGTGGAAAAAGCTGTTGAAATTTTCTACCTCCTTTGAGGTTTGTGATTTAAATGTAAAATGACTGTCGATATTACATCAGGTAGAAACATCTGGGCTATAGTGCATCCATGTGTTTGATTTTCATGCACTGATATTTGATTTTCATGCACTGATATTACATATCTGATTTCAATTAATTGTCATGAAAATGTAAACAAAAATGCAAGCAATTTTAATCCTTTGCTTTTATTTCACTGCAATTTATCACATCGTTTCTTTTTCTGATAAATATTTAGTTTTCTGGTACTGCTCAGTACTTTTTTCTTTCAATTTGAAAATATTTGCCATGACTGCAATGTTTTGGTATGTATTGTGATACTTTAAGTAGGATTTGTATAGTTATTGGTCATTTGACTTTTGCAAACTATTTCAGTGCTAAAAGGCAAATTGAGTGTACACTTATAATCAGTTTACTTAGATAATGAGACCTTGCTAAATTAAAGTTAGAAACATTTCACTTTTTTATCAGATTTGTAAAATGCATTGCACCCACATATCAGCAGTGAGTGTTTTTATTATGTACAGACACAGATGTGTCTGTACATATAGCCATCACCTGCGTCTGTCGTCCCTGTTGCCGTCATTGCCGTCGTCAACGTTGCCGTGTGCTTTTACCGATAACATGATAAGTGGAAAACCGTTTTTTCTTTTGGCTTGAAATTTACAGAACTGATGAATATTCAAAATACACAGGTCAAGTTCGAAAATCAGCATGATCGGGCCATTTTTGGGGAAGTTATGCTGTTTTTTCACTTTTTTCAGCATTTATGTAGCACTGTTTTTTCACTTTTTTCAGCATTTATGTAGCACCGATAACACGATAAGTGGAAAACCGTTTTACCTTTTGGCTTGAAACTTACAGAACTGATGAATATTCATAATATGCAGGTCAAGTCCGAAAATTAGCATGATCGGGCCATTAATATGTAAGTAATGCAGTTTTTTCACTTTTTTCAACATTTATGCAACACCGATAACACAATATTTGAAAAACCATTTTAACTTTTGGCTTGAAACTTACAGAACTGATAAATATTCATAATACACAGGTCAAGTTCGAAAATCAGCATGATAGGAACATTTTCATGGAAGTCAGCTGTTTTTTTCACTTTTTTCAGCATATATGCAACCCTGATAACACGATAAGTGAAAAACTGCTTTACTTTTTGGCTTGAAACTTGCAGAACTGATGAATATCTATAATACGCAAGTCAAGTTCGAAAAATTGGCATGATCAGAGCATTTTTATAAAAGTTTTGCTGTTTTTTCACTTTTTTTCAGCATATATGCAACACCTATAACACATTTTAAGGAAAATCGATTGGCCAATTGTCCTGAAATTCACAGTAGTGATCAGTGTTACTGAAATACAGATTAAGTTTGGAAAATAAGCTTGATCAGTAAAGGTTTGGTGAAGTTATGCCTTTTTTTTTGTATATAAGTGTTTTTTTTCCTCAATTATAATGCTCAGGCATGTTAAGTCTCATTTTTATTATGTACAGACACAGATGTGTCTGTACATATTGCCATCACCTGTGTCTGTCGTCGCCGATGCCGGCGCCGTGCACTTGCCTTGTTAACATGATAAGTGGAGGGCAGTTTTACTTTTTGGCTTTATATTTACAGAGCTGATGAATATTCATAAAATGCAGGTCAAGTNTTTTTTTTTTGACATTTTCTGCATCTTAACAACATTGTTAGTTGATTATAAAAAAATGATGGTAAACCTGATATTGTGTATTGTTTAATAAGTGTCAAAAATGGAAAAAAAACACATATCTTTACAGTTTGTCAGATTCAACCATTCACTATGTTCAGAATTTCAGAATGGAGCAAGTTGGACATTTATAATTGTTCTGTTGATATTTTTGCTTTTACAACATATTTTTTGATTGATATATAAAAATGACCGTAAATTGATTATTTTGCTTTATGTAAAAAAGGTGTTGAAAATGGAAATAAACTCTTTCAATACAGTTTTCTCTTGTTTACATTTTGGGATTTTCAAAGTATGACTCTGAACTCTATAGGCTAGTCACATTTTCTGAATATCCATGATACTTTTATTTTATTATTAAAAAAATTATGGTTATTATGCTGTTAAGCATAGTGTAATATTGCATCAAAATTGAACAAAACCCTATTCTGGGCACTGCCTCCGTAGTAGCAGTGAAAGGAAAACCATGTCACTTGTTCTTCTCACACTTACAGGAAAGAAACATAGGACTGAAATACAGCTTCAGTTGAAAAATTGTCTCATTAGTTTATTGTTTGGAAGTAATACAGGTTTTTTTGTGAAAATTTTTATCTTTCACATGTTGCAATTTTCAGTGTGGGACTTAGAGCTCCCTTGGGCGTGAAGCCCAGTGGTAATCAAATTTTCTTAATGTCCATGTTTTTAATAGTAGATATTTTAAAATTGGTGGTATTTAATTAGTTAATCATTATGTAATGTTGCATCAAAATTGACAAAAAATCTACTTTGTGCTCTGCTACCATTAATATTATGTAAAGTAAAGTGTTACTTTCTTTTTTTTTACTATTCTTACAAAAATGATTCTTAGGATTGACATACAGCTCATATTAGAGAACCAGCTCTATTGGATTATCATTTTTATTAAATTTATGAATTTTTTGTGAAATTTTCATTTTTCTCATTCTGGCACTTTCTAATTGTAAACTTGAACTCTGATGGGCCTGGAGCCTTATGCTTTTACTTTTATCAGTGTTACCTGTACGTTGTGCATAATTAAAATTTGATGTTGACTGTGCAGTTAAACATAATGTATTATTGCATCAGAATTGGTAGTCTCCTTGTTTTTTTTGTGCATTATTGTTTTCTGCTTTTCTTAAGGTGTGACTTATGGGCCTGAAGACCTTTGATAGACTAATTTGTGTGGTCAGTCTGTAAATTCCCCTTGGGTATTCACTAGGCTAATTTCAGTGCTATAAACTCATTTGCCTAATTAAGCGGCCATTAAATGAAATTTCATAAAGCACACTTGTTGATATTTCCCTGTAAACTCCCAAAGGTTAAGCTCTCTGCTAGATAACATAGTGTCCATAATAAGGAAGCAGTGAATAGCAGCTTCATTGGAATTATATTTTTGTTGTTTTCTTTTTAATTTTTTCTCCAACACTGGCATTTTTAAGATGTGATTTTTAACTCCCATCCACCTGAGGCTCTGCACATTTTCAGTATTTCCACATAAGCAGTTGTATTGGTATTTATGTCTTTAAACACGCTGTAATATTATTTTATGCACTGTCATCATTTTTCATATATTGGGACTTTCATCATGTAAATTTTAACTCTCATGGTCCTGAAACTGTAATCTTATTGAAAGGGTGGATTGAGACCATTTTCTGGGTCTCCTGGAAGACAGTCAGATTTTAAAGTTTATATTTACGGGTTTCTGTTGGAAGACCATCAAAATGGAGGATGGATCAACAAAGATACTTTGGAATACTGTCAGAAAATATCTCTGGATCTGCTCCTGTTATTGACCATGTTACCTGTTGTGCATGATTAAAAATCAGTGTTGACTGACTGTGCTATTATAAGCATATATTATTGCATCAAAATTGACAAAATGACCTATTTTGCATTTTTTTTTCTGTTTTTTTGTCTGTACATTTGACAGCTTTGCTGCCTTGTTTGTTTTTTTTTATTGAAAGGGCTGGGTGAATTTTTCAATTAATCCGGAAGGGGGTTCCCAAAAGAAATTCTGGGTGGGAGTATCGATATTTTTGGGTCACAGGAATTTCTTTTCCACATCCGTCTCCCCTACGACATAATTAATAACCGGTCCCTGACGTCTTCTTGGAATGTTGACATAACCCACTTTAACAGCTGATCCGTATTTACTCTCAGATGAAAATTGCACCATATCGTGTTTTTCACATCCAAAAGGAGGTCAAGACATTGAATTGGAGCACATAACAAGTTATTATTGTAATTTAAAATCGTGAAGGTGTTATTATGTACACACAGATGTGCCTGTACATATAGCCGTCACCTGCGTCTGTCGTCGCCGTCTGCCGCCGCCGCCGTCGCAATTTCGGTGATAAGCGGCAACCGTTTTAACTTTTGTCTTCAAACTTGCAGGACTGATAAAATATTAATAAAGTACAGGTCAAATTCGAAAATCAGCAAGATCGGGGCATTTTTTTTTAAATAAGTTACTCTGTTTTTCCCTTTTTTCAGCATATATGCAACATTGGTAACATATTTCAAGGAAAACTGATAGGCTAATTGTCTTGAAACTTAAAGAAGTG